GCTGAGGCGGAAGGATTGCCGGAGCCCCAGCAGGCGAGGCTGCAGTGGCTGGGAGCGGCCACTGCACTCCAGTCTGGGCAACCGAGTGAGACTCCAACTCAAAAATAATAATAATCATGTGACATGGGCATGACCCTTATTGCAAAATCCCAAACCTCATGGGAATAAAACTGATACTCTGACTGATTAACCCCAACTAACCCCTACTCATCATGGTCTTTCCTTACTTTGCATCTCCCTCAGCACCTGTAGATACAATCAAAACTTTTCAAGTGTGTGACTGTGTGTTACCTTGAAAGCATACAAGCCAACTCTCTCCAGCAAGATGATAAGCTCTTTTGGAAGAAGGACTGAATCATGTCAAGGCCAAAATAAGTAAGAATAAGCCCGGTTGATTTTTTTTACTTATTGTGAAGACAAGGTCTCGCCTTGTTGCACAGGCTGGTCCTGAGCTCTTGGGCTCAGGCAGTCCTCTGTTCTCTGCCTCCCAAAGTGCTGGGATTACAGGCATGAGCCACCACACCTGGCTATTCCCAAGTACTTTCAAGATGCCTATTTCTACAATGTCATCAGATAAAATTTCAGGAACAAATTGTTTTGTGGGAATCCTTTCCACATGGTAAAAGCTGAAGTAGCACTTGGTTAAGGTTAAAAACAGAGCACACAGCTGATTGCACACAGTTATCAGGAGGAACTCTAGTGAGTACCTAATCTCTGTGAGGAAAAAAAAAAGCCAGTCTGGTTTGGCTGTCCTGACCTGGTTGAAGTTGGGGGATGGGGTAGCTAGTAGAATGTATGCTGAATAAGGAAGACAATGATCTCTTATTATATGCTAGCAAGTGTTGTTTAAATACATTAATTTTGTCATTTCACTTTAACCCTGCATAATAAAGTTGACTGTACCCATTTTACAAATGAAGAAACTGAGGCTCAGAAAAAGAAAGTAACTTGATCAAAGTCTCTGGACAGCAGAACTAGTCTTCAAACCCACATTCTTGTTCTTGATGCCCTTGCTACTCAAAGTGTTATCCAGGGCCATCAACATGGACATCACCTGGGAGTTTGTTAGAAAGAATCTCAGGCCCCACCCTAGACCTGTAGAATTGGAATCTGCATTTTAGAAAAATCTGTAGGTGATCTGTATAAACTTAAATTTTGAGAAGTGCTGCTTTTTATAATTCTATGCTGCTGCCATATGACCGGGAGTTAGAAACTCAGCTTTACATCAGTAATACTCAGAGTTATTTTGGATAAATCTGAGCTTCAGATTCTTCATCCATAAAAAGGGAAGCTAGGTTCTTTCTGAGTTTATGTAGTTCCATTTTTAGTCACAAGGATGTTTAGGGATCATGGCCAGCACAACATCTTCTTTTCTTCAAGATGCTTGTAAGCTATTGCAAATACAGCTCCAAAATCTCTGCTGAGGAAATCCCTCTGAGAAGCTAGTAAATAAAGAAATACCATTTCCAACCTGATGATGGAGGTAGAGAATGTTAGGAAAAGCACTAGGTTTTTAGTTCCTAAGAGAAGATAATATGTCCTGCCAAAAAGAAGCATATCTCTGAAATCGACATCCCAGAGTATCAGTTTTACTCCATGAGGTTTGGAATTTTGCAATAAGGGTCATGCCCATGTCACATTATTTTTAATGGAAACTACCTCAAGAGAAACAATGAGCACATGATTGTAGTCTCTATTTAGAAAGTTATTATTTGAGTATAGTTCTTGTTTTAATAAAAAATTTAAACAAAGCCTTAAATATAGATTTGTTAAAGAAAAAAATAAAGGCAAAGTCATAATTGGAATATATTTAAAATTCCCAGTTGCCACTTAATATCAAACCCAAGTCACAACTCATCTAGATGAGGTTCCAGCAGTACATTTTGAGTTTTACCTCTGGTAGATCATACCAGCACAATCTCCTCTGAAATACTGAGCTACTTCAAACACAAATACATGGGGACTAGGTCTAACAGAACTAACTGGGCTCCATCATATAGTACCAAATTGGAAATAATGCAGTAATTTCCAAAGTCCAGTTTTGTGTATGACATCTGGTAGCCCAAAGGGTCACTTCACAGATAGCCTCTTTTTTTTTTTTTTTTTTGAATTGGAGTCTCACTCTGTTGCCCAGACTGGAGTGCAATGGCCGCTCCCGGCCACCGCAGCGTCCACCTGCTGGGCTCTGGTGATCCTTCCGCCTCAGCCTTCCAAGTAGCTGGAACTACAGGCGTGCGCTACCACGCCCGGCTAATTTTTATTTTATTTATTGTAGAGATGAGGACTCACCAAGTTGCCCAGGCGGGTCTCGAACCCACGGGCTCAGGCAATCCACTCACCTCAGCCTCCCAAAGTGCTGGGATTACAGGCTGAGCCACCGAGACCAGCCACAGATAGCTTCTTTAAGCTCTCTTCCTGATATGTGTACTTTGGACACATATTACATTCCACCCAATGAATAGGGACACCAAACCTAAATGCCTCAGGCCTCAGCAGACAAGATCTCACTTCCCCACTCTCTCAGTAGAGACCCTGTGGTTGTTGTCATTGGTTTCTCTATTTTAAACTAAGCTTTTGTTTTGCAGCACTAACTTCTCTTGGTAAAGGATGTGAAGCTAGTTTATTCTCTCCTCCTCCTTCTTTTCCTCTTCTTCCACTTTCCTTTCACCCTGCCACGCATACTTCTCATTTTCTTACAATTAGGTGCCTCTCATTGACCTCAAAGGAAGACATACATTTGCTAAGATGAATTTAAGGAGACTTAACCCAGGAACTTAATCTTTTTTTTTTTTTGAATTGAAGTCTCATTCTGTTGCCAAGGCTGGAGTGCAGTGGCACATTCACAGCCACCGTAGCCTCGAACTGGTGGGCTCAGGCGATCCTTCCGCCTCAGCCTTCCAAATAGCTCGAACTATAGGCACGTGCTACCATGCCCGGCTAGTTTTTTTTTTTTTTTAGAGATGAGGTCTCACCAAGTTTCCCAGGCTGGTCTCTAACCCCTGGGCTCAGGCAGTTCTCTAATTCAGCCTCCCAAAGTCCTGGGATTTTATAGACGTGAACCACCGCACCCAGCCAGAACATAGCCTTCTTACACATGCCATGCCTTGACTTGATTCAGTCCTTCCAAAATCTACCAACTATGTACCTATTCCTCTTCCAGAAGTAGAAGGGGCAGTCCTCCAAGTTTATAGTTTACCATATCTGAAAAGAAATCATGGAAAATAGATAAAAGTTATAAAGTGAACAACATATGACTCAAAGATGGATATCTGAAAGTTTCATGGGAATGAGAAGCAAGGGGGACAGTCAATCAAAGTGGACTGAGGTAATTAGCCAGAAAGGTTTTCTAGCAGAATGTTGCTAATGAAGGAATGCCCTTGGGCACCTAATATCAGGCCACAGAGCTTAGGGTAGGCAGAGTGGGCTTTCAGAAGAATACAAACAAGCTGGAAAAAGGAATCTTGGGAAAGAGGACTACTGAACACACTGACTTCCCCTGTAGCACCTGTCTAATATGACCCTTTGCCATTCACATATGCTTTAGGTTATAATGACAGTCTTCAAGAGGAAATGAATGTAGATTGTCCCCCAGGGCAGTACTTCATCCAAGATGGCGATGAGGATGAGGACAAGAAGGCCTGCCAATTTAAGCGCTCCTTCCTGAAGAACTGCTCTGGTCTGGAGGACCCTACATTTGGATACTCTACTGGACAGCCCTGCATCCTTCTAAAGATGAACCGGGTATATTGGCTCTTGATATCTGGTGGTGATAAGTGAATGAGCTGGATAGGAGGGCTCTGGCCACTCTAGTTACCTTGGGTTCTGTCTTCACACACCACAGGTTTGGCCATTTTTACCAACAGCATCAGAAATACAAACAACCAGACAAATTTATCAATTCCTTTTTCTCCTTGGATACTTTCTATTGCCGTTCTTCTCCCCCACTCCAAACCTGCCCTTTGATGACAACTGTCAAGAAAGGGGTCCTGAGCTGTTTGGAACAGGTGATTGACATGAGGGTGGAGTGGGGGACAGTTCTCATATCACAAAAATGCATTTTCCTTCTTTCCTGTCATGCCTTAGTTGTGGCAGAGCCTTATCAGGCGCACCCCTTTTGAAATCAGAAAATTCTTTACATCTTTAGGGCTAGCTTGCTGCAGTTTCCCTTGTGTATGAATATCAGGCACAAATACAACAAGTAAGCTGAGCTGCACAGCTCTGAAGATGTTTTGCATTTTCTGCTGTTCGTAACATTTCTGAAAGAGCAAAATAAAGTGTATGCCTGAGGAAGGATGACTCAGGAGGGGCATTGGAAAAGCCCCATTTTTACTGTCAAATATATTTTGTTTTACAAAAAAAAAAAAAAACACTGGTTTTCTTTTGATAGATTGTAGGCTTTCGTCCTGAGCTTGGAGATCCTGTGAAGGTTTCCTGCAAAGTTCAGGTAAAGTGCCCTTTTGAGTAAGCATTGTTAGCATATCTGTTTCATGCAAAAAAGTAATTCATCCCTTAAGAGAACTTGTACAAGGATGGTAGGTTAGAGAAAGGGTTAATCTATCTTTATAACTACACTTCCCTTTAGTACTTTCAGGCCTTCCTCATTCCAGAAAGCATTCAATTAATGTGTGTGTGTGTCTGTGTGTATGCACATGTGCATATCAGTTAGTGTGTCATGATTTATAACTGGGAAAACTAAAAACTGAACTTCAACTGGGGGCCATAGTAGGAAACAACAATGTGCCAAGTCATTAACTGGGATTCTGTTTACACTTTTACTTTTAGCTGCAATTGTTTATTTGAACTAAACAAACAACTTTCATTAGAGTCATTAGTCCCCAATTTTAAATCTGAACTTCACATTTTGCAGCAATGACCAGTGGCACTGGGTGCTACAATAACAAAAGACTACAAGGGAAGTATAAACAGAACTCTATTAATATGCTAATTAACTTCCTTTGAGGGGCCATTAACTTCTATCTGCTGCACCAATTAGCTCTTTTGTAGGAAAAAGCCCTAGGTCTTGGGTTTGCTTCTTAAAACTGGCAGTAGCTCCCTCCTACTGGATGACATCAACTGCACCCCCAACCCTGGACAGCTGAATTGCAAATATTGGAGGCCAGGCAATTCCATTCACAGTAGTAGAAATTCAGTCGAAAACTTCAGTCTTCATGATGACAGATCAGAAAACAGCAAACGACAGCAATTATTCAGCCAATATTCCACATTCAGCAAGCATCTATTGGTCACTTATTACATACAAGGTCCTTTGCTGGGTGTTGGGAGTACTGAGGAAAATATGACTGTCTCTGAAATCAGGGCAATCAAGTATTCCAGGTGCTATGAAAGATACTCAGACTGTAATCCCGCACTTTGGGAGGCTGAGGTGAGTGAATTGCCTGAGCCCGCGGGTTCGAGACCCGCCTGGGCAACTTGGCGAGACCTCATCTCAATAAATCAAAAAAATGAGCCGGGCGTGGTAGCGCACACCTGTAGTTCCAGCTACTCGGAAGGCTAAGGCGGAAGGATCGCCGGAGCCCGGCAGGTCGAGGCTGCGGTGGCCGGGAGCGGCCACTGCACTCCAGTCTGAGGGACAGAGTGAGTCTCCAACTCAATAAATAAATAAATAAAAATAAAAATGAAAGATACAATAGGGACATCGAACAGACAAAGGTCAGTTTCATGTGGGAGACAGTGATGCTGAAGATGAGCTTTGAAAAGTCAGGCAGTATTTGGTGAAAAAAGTAAGATAGGAAGAACATTCCTTCCGTTCCTACGTAAGTGTATATGTGTAAATATTCACACATATGAGGTGGGGCTACAAACTCGTGGAAAGATTCCACAAGCCATTCATGAAAAATAAATTTCATTGATTTTTAGAAGAATATATAAATAAATCCTAAGGACCAACTCAGTATTAAGCTAGCATATTAATTGGACTGAGTTCTGCTTGTAGTTCTCTATTGGAAGCTGTTCATTTTTCAGCTTACACTGAACCTTGCTGAGAACTATCTTTAAAAAAAATAATATTGAGTCCCTATACATTCTATAATAATCAATACAGGTCAAATCCCCACCCACTTGTAGAAATCGAACAGGATGAAGTGATGACTAGAATAAATTAAGGAGAGCTTAGTTTTTACCAAGAACAATTATAGTATATTGACAGAAGTAATCACATGACCTTAATGAGTAATTTGCTAGTAGTGATGCACTCTTTGTCCTTACTAACCCCCAGACCTCTACGATTTAGGACAAGTCTAATGCATAGGCAGAATGGACAGCCCCCTACCTGACACGATGTGATAAAGGTCAACCTGTTTGCTTTAACCATTTCCATAACCTCCTACTTATTCTCCTGACTCCACCTACTGTAATCAAGCACTACAGAGCATGTGGTCAGAGACATGAGTTTATGTGAGCCACAACTGTAGGCTGTGTGCCTATGCATCGAGTACCTGTGCACTTAATCTGGCTCCCAACAGAACTGAGCCTGCAGTGTACAAGTGTGGAGTAGGATTTACTAAATGTGTTTTAACTTATGCCTGCCTCAGCTCCAAAATCCACTGAATGGCAGGCCCAGTGTGATTCTTTGCAGGGGAGGGCCCACTTTTCAAAGCAGCATCAGGTACTGCAAGCTTTATGGGTTCCTTCTGTCTGAGTCTCCTAGAAGCCAACAGAGAGCCATACTGAGCACCTTTGGCCTCCTTGGCCTAGATCTTTTATTGAGTATTCTTTGAACTGAAAAGCCAAGGCACAATTATTCCCTGCAAATGCTCCACTGGGGATAGGTCAGGGCTGAGCTCTGCCCCATTCCGTTTTTGTGGTTTTCCTGGGACAGTTGGCTTTGGATTACGAAGTGATTTCACCTAGGACATACGTTCCTTTAACCCAAACTCCAACCCACTGAATGACCAAATGTCCCACATATACCTGCTTTTGCTTACAGAGAGGTGATGAAAACGACATCCGATCCATCAATTACTACCCAGAGTCGGCTTCTTTTGACCTCCGCTACTACCCTTACTACGGCAAACTGACTCACGTAAGCGGTATCCACGTCAGCCATTACTATTTGAAAGGGCTCAGAGACAAAGGAAGGGCTGGTTGAGAATTAGGGAGCAGCAGATAGTAACAGAGGGGTGAATGCTGCTAGCCATAACCAGGTGCTCCCTCTAGCAATTCCCTTTCCATAACTGAAAGAATCTCTAATATGGTCTGGTCTAATCCCTTCAGTTTACAGATGGGAAAGTCGAGGTTCAGAGAGAGGAAGTGACTTGCCCAGGGTCACAGAGCTAATTAGCGGCAGAGCCAAGAGACAGAAATTACTACCATTGCGCTTAATCATGCCATAATAATCATACTTCCCTCTTTCTCCCATTTGAAGCCTTGGGACAATGAAGGCTTCATCTCCACGATAGGAACTTGATAGATACTAGTTTCAGTTTAATTCATGCTTTGATATCCAGAAAATCATATCATGCTGAGTCAAGATTAGTTTCCCCCAGAATACAATCAGATATCTGACAGTGACATATGTGACAAATTTCCCCACACTTTCCCGAGGCAGGGAGAGCATGTCAGTTACTTTGGCCATTTGTGACTTGGCATTATGAGATTTACACAGTTCTCTTTGTGGGGGTTATCCTATTCTGCAGTGATTATTTGATCATTTCCCTTCTACCACCTCCTCACACTTAGAATTCATTATTCTTCCACCTACAGGTTAACTACACCTCTCCCCTGGTGGCAATGCACTTTACAGACGTGGTGAAGAACCAAGCAGTGCCTGTGCAGTGCCAACTGAAGGGCAGAGGCAACATAAATGATGTCATCAATGATCGTTTCATGGGGAGGGTAATCTTTACCCTGAACATAGAAACCTAAGAATTTCAGGAGGCCACTGCCACCAGTTCTGTTTCTGTTTTATTTCATGTTATATCTAGTAGCTCCCGAATTCTTTTTCTTCAACTGGGATACAGCCAGATGGACACCTAAGACAGTGGATCACTTTTCCTTGCCTCTGACATGTGTATAAAATGACATTGTGGGAGCTGTTTGATTTTTTTAAAGGTAGTCTCTCCTGATGACAAATGGATTATATTAATTTTCTTTCCCTCCACTTAAAACTAAAACTCATTCTTGCTGCTAGAAGTCTCACTGTAGTATAAATATAGTATCATAACGTTCACAATAGATGTAAAGAAGAATTTCTATAAGGATTATAAATTCATCATGTTTTCTAAAATTGTATTGGTTTTAGAGGTGAGATTCTTCCCAACCAGTCTGATAATGTAATCCTTTTTTATGAAGCCTGCCTGGCAAGGTCCTTCCCTGGGAATCACTACTCAGACCAACCCAGATAATATTTAGGGTCACTATACTTTTATAACTCTATATCCAGGAGTGCTTGAGAAACTGACTGCCTCCCACAGGCAACTAAATGCTGATTTAGGTTATCTTCAACTGAGACAGTAAGCAGTGCTAACTGGATAGTGTTCTGGGAGAGACAAAGTCCTTCCTTGTGACTTTTTAAAAAAGGTAGGGCCTACTGCAATCGGGGAGAACACTCAGCACAGGGATGTGATTGGTGTTTGAGTTCTTGCTCTATAGTATAATCATGCAAAGGCAAACATTCCTGAAAGCAGGTTTATCTCAGCTTCAGGCAGAGGAGAAAACATAGAAGAATATCTCCACCAGTTAATTCTTCTTGGGCTATTTGTTTGACAGTAGTGTGATATTCCTTGAGACCATCAGGGATGGGTGCAGCTCTGGAGATTGAAATCAGGGTTTGTCAATGAATCCATGACAAGACAGAAATTCCCTTCTAGGTCACCTAAAAGTCAGGTTTTGCATTTAGCTAGTTTTGCATTTACTTTAAAAATGACATGAGACAGATGTTTATCCAGGTTGTGGATTAGCCAGGTCACTTTCTTATCTTTGGCGATGTGTAATCATTCCACTGCTTCTTAACACCTCCACCAGGGGGAAGGCTGGGACAAAGAGAAAAGGCAAGTATTGGCAAATAGCATAGGTTCTCAGGGTCCAAAGCAAGTTTAAATGTCATCTAGCGGCATCCAGATTCTGAATCCCCTCTACAATGTTTACTTTCTTCCAGAACAGAGAACTGGCAATCTGGTAGTGGAGACAAACAAGTGGAGAAGTAACTATGATATAGTGTGATGAGAATTATAAAACTAGTATGTGGAAATGCTATGGAAATTTGAGGAAAAATAACTGTCTTGAGCTGAATAATAACAGAGGGAATTTCACATGCAAAGCCATAGTTATGTGCGTCTGGGTAACTGTGAGCAGTTCATGTAGAGGACTCAGGAATGGCAGAGTGGCAGGAGACTGGGATAGAGAGGTGTTCAGGGACTAAAAGAGGATTTTGAGTTTTATCCTCTAGGTGAAAAGGAGTCATTAAAACATTCTAATCAGGGTATCTCTGTGATCATATTTGCATTTTGGAAAGCACACTTTAGTAACCACCATGTGAAATGTGGATTAGAAAGAGACAAGAGTGGAAATTGGGAATGAAGAAGAACTCACCAGTAAAGTGGTGATATTGTTGATCAAGACTGGGAATATAAGATAAAAGCAGGACTGGAGATGCTGAGATCAATTTTGGACATTTTAGGCTTGTGATTTTCTATTGGTCAGACATTGATGTGGAGATATAAACACATGTAAGGCTGGGGAGAAGAAACAATGAGAACAGAAGCAACATTTGGTTAGGTGAACTCACTTAAGAAATTCTAAGCTATTTAATCTTGGAAATTGAAATCAGTTATGTAAACCTACTACACTAACCTGGTCCCTAACAGTGTCTTTTTCTCTTGACTTTGTGGCAGAAAGGACTACTATTCTTCTTTGGAATCTTCTTCCCAGACACCTTTGGATTCTTATTGATAGAGTAGAGGAGAGCTGACTGCTATTAGCAAGTGATAGGCGATATAGGACAGCAGGCTTATGGAAAATACAAAAAACAAACAAACACCAGTGAAAATGTCTCCTCTCTACCCACATCCTTAGCAAATTCAATTTTCAAAACTAAGCTTTAAAAAGAAAAAGAACAAAATGAAAAAGACAACTTTTAAACCTTTTAAAAATCGCCTCAAACAATCAAACTCTCCAAATCAAGTAGTAAAAGATAATAGAACTTTAGCTCCGGAAAGTATATTAGAGAGCGTTTAGAGAAAACAACCTGCATTGCATCTGACTCCAGGTCCAGTGCTCTTTCTACTCTGAGCTGCTGCTTACCAAGAAATACCATCTTTTAAAAAAATCAATGAATAATATCCTAGACATTTTGAAACATGTCAAATTTGAGTTAAAATGGTTAACATTTCACAGGAATTCAACTACTGGTGCTATAATTTATATATAATACATTATCCTGTTAAATGTATTGACTATTAAACAGACTAGGAATTATGACTTTTGTCCAACAACATTTATCATTCATTGGAATCTACTGTGTCCACAATTTCAAAGCAGTATTGGAGAGTACTAAGATAGCTTCGGTTGTCAGCTAGGACATGAACAAATAGCTTGATTATACAGAACTGGATATGTTAATACATTCATTAAAGTTAGATTCTAACTGTTCAATAAACTTCTAGTAGATTAATTTAAATAGTCCCCTATACTGTACTCTACCAGAGTTAGAGTTGTATACTGTCTGTTGCAATGCACTTGGTTTTACTTGGCTGTCAATGAGAAATATTCCTTCCAAATGTCTTAATTGTTTTGTCCATGCTAGACTTTGGTTATGATTTTTCACCTTTAACCCTTTGAAGTCGTTATCCCAATGTAACCAACCATTCTTAGGCATCTATTTGCTGGGGATATCAATGTAGAAAACATTTATATTGTCTTGGGGAGTTGTTGACAACAATAAATTGACATAAAAAAGAAATGTATGATTTTATTTTTCTAGACTGTATCACTGATTTTCCTCCAGGAATATTGAGTGGGCATGTGGGTGGAAAACTTGACAATTGACAACCTATTAGTTAAAGATTGTTTTTCTTCTCTCCCTCCTCCCTTTTTTGAGTCTTGGGATTTAGTCACAGGAGGCTAAAACTAAAAGTTGTTTCATTTCTGGACATTTTTCCTTTTGTAGACTCTGCTCTTGTTTCCCAGAAAACTGCTTTGTCAGAGCAGCCTTTTTTGATCAAGGTTGAGTACTGGTATAAGCTGTTCTGTTTGTTTGTGTAGGAAAGGAACACTAAGAGAAACTGGGGTGAAGGGACAGAACCAAAATCCAAAGAGAAACTGCAAATATTTGATGAAATTCTGGCTAAGTGACTTTAGGGCACATCTGGCCACAAACTGTCTCCCAGAGCAAACCTGTAATGGAAATTGCAACTAAAGACATAAATATTTCCAGCCCCTTATTCAGCTCAGAGGCTGGGCTGCAACAGGAACACCTTATTTCCTTGGAAGCTTCCCTGGCCTAAGGTCTACTAGGCTGATATGGTTTGATTTGGGGCAACGGATCTGTGATCCAAACATATTTCCCTCTACCTAATTTCTTTGTTAGAGTCATTTTATTTACTGACTCTCTCTTAAAATATTCATACATAATAAAGTAATTGAACCAAATCATATGGAAGTGTGGTTTACCCTGTGCTTTTATTTAGGCAGAAGAAGATAGAGGTTTGGGTATTTTTGTGTATGTGTTGAGAGGAGGGAAAGTGAATAGGATGGATGGAGGTAAAGGGCAAGGAAAAAAGATACTTTACAAAGTTATTCAGTTGCAGCTAGAAGGGAAGAAGGATTAACAAGGAAATCCAAAAGCTTTAAGAAGGATACGATTTTCAGTCTGACAGCTTATTCTCCAGAATGTACTTTCTTGCAAGCTCCTGGATGACCATAATCCAATAAGAGATAGCACACCTGACAAAACAGGATACTTGGAAGAGGGTTTATTTACAAAGGGATTATTCTAAAAGTGTACATGTTAAGAAACCACAAATTGCAAAGAAACAGCCTAGTAGAAGCAGAACTCTTACCATCCCTTGACCCTAAGGTATAGGGGCAGAAAGTGGTTACTAGAACTCAGAAAGAGTAAGTGAGTCATGTACAACCTTGAGAGTAGTAGTAACCTTGCTGAAGGACTAAGCTAGCCCAAGGTGACCTTGTATAAAGGGGAACAGGAGAACAAATACTGTGACTTAATTTTTCTCTCATTGTCCAACCCCAACCAAAGCCAAAGGACAAAGAAACTTGTTGATGTGGTCCACACAGGTCAACCTCCTAAGGAAGAAAGCAGGGTGGAAAAGGGTAGAGAGTGCATCCAGAAGGACAAACAGAAGATAGCTAGCATAGCTACCAAGGGTTGATTCTGTGAACAGACTCTTTAAGCCTAATACAGTCCTGGAATCATCTGCTGAACCAACTCTAGTGATGGGGGCAATTTTATTTTTATACATAATCTACTCTGTGGTTGTGGGGTCCAAGGCATTAGGTGCTCCCACTGTTGAAACTCTTTTCTCCATTGTTTAGTATTCATTCCCTTTTCAATTTTATTCTTCATGCATCTTTTGGTACATTATTTAAACTCTTTTGCTTGCATGTGACAAAACAAACAAATGAACAAAAAATTCACATTGACTTAAAGATAAAAGAAAATTTACTGAGTCACCTAACTGAAAAGTCCAGGTATACTTTGGCTTCAGGCATAGCCAGGACCAGGAACTCAACGATGTCATTATGAACTAGTCTCTCTCCACGTCTCTATTCTGCTTTTCATCACAAATCAAGATAGGCAAGATAGTCGCCAGCATTGCCAGACCTACATCCTCAAAGGTCAGAGAGCTTGTCTTCCATGAAAGTTCAAATAAAAAATAAAAATTCCAAGGAGAGGCCTCAAGATGACT